ACGATTCGCTAAAGTATGTGAAATTTGACGTACGGTTTCACGGAACGGACCGGCTGTACCGTTCGTGATTTCGGAACCGTGTGCTTGAAAAGCGACTCGCTAAAACTCCCTATTATCTCCTCTTTTCATCAGGTGTCAGAGCGACCGCTAGTACGTTTCGAATCAATATAGACCGGCTCCACCCAAAGGTGTAACACGTCTCGTGGAGTGCGTTGCGTAATCAGCTCAACTCGCAAATATGTATACGGTCTCTGCGATTGAAGTCGGTTAAGAACAACAGCGAAGGCACACACGGAAGTTGCAGTCTGCGGTACGAGTGGTGCGTGCCTAGGATTTGATTGACGGAGGAATGGAAAATTGAACTGTGACCGCATTATTTCGTCGGTCGATGCAGGAGACATAGTAAACACAGCTTGGGCGTACCGGCCTTTCTCGTTGTTACGCAAGCCTTCTTTCACGCTGGCATATCGCTGAGCGAGAAAAAAAAAAGACAAAATACCACGCTGCATTTTTTATCACCTCTTTGGCGTGTTGGAGGCAAAAGCCAGCAACAACAGTCACTGACACAGTATCTAGTGCCACTAAATAAGCTACGCTTCAGAGCAACGACACTTCGCCATATTGTGGCTTAAAATCATGGTTGCCAGTTATCTGAAGCTTTATCTGAAGTCACAAAAAAAGAACGCTTTTCCGTCCTCCACAAATGTGACACAGTTCGCGAAAAAGCAAATTAATATTACATGAGCTTCTTAACACCAAAGCTAATGCTGAGGAAGTCGTATTTTTGAATCATGACGATCGGCAGTTGCTCTGCACAAGCACAAAAATGGCGGCTCCCACAACAGTATCAGGGAACGGAGTGGCGATACTCTAAGCGCAGCTCATTTAGTGGTTCTGACAGTATGAAATGCAAAAGCGACGACTGTCGGTTCAGGGATAGGCAAGACTGAAGGGGCAGAAATGTTTCTTGTATATTTATACACATTTCGTTTCCTCCGTAACACTTTTTCCATGCGCAATTCTACTGCTGCTCGTGGACATATTCCGCTGATCTTAAAAAATCAAGGCGGTAATCTGGAAGACACTTGGCCGTCATCACTTCTCCAGTCTGGATGTATCTGTAGTCATGGACTATGCGGAGCGCAAGTTCGTCTGCATCTTTCGCTGGCGTTGTAGTGACGTCAGAAGGCCGAGCTCTCAATTTTTGTAAGGGCCAATTTTTGTAATCAGAGCCAATCAGCTGATTGGCTCTGATTGAAGGATAGTGGAGACATCAAAGCAAGTTGCCTAGAGACCAGAGCTCGGCGTTCTGACGTCACCACAGCCCCTGCAAAAGTTGCAGACGAACTTGCGCTCTCCCTAGAGTCGGTGACAGGTTAAGACGAAAGAGGATGCTCCTGGAACGTTAGGAGCGAAGTGGAAGCTCTTTTCACCTCTGTCCACTTTAGCAGAGCGAACGCTGGAATGAAGCTAGTCGCCTCCTCTCCAGCGTTCGCTCTGTTAAACTGGAACGCCATCGACTTCTGCTTGATGATATCACTTAAGTGTCCTAACTGTCGCGGGCCGCGATCCTGAGCGTGTCGCGTCGACGAAGGTGGAAATGACAGACGCCTGTTCAGCTGCAGGCAGCTCTTCCAGGCAACGTTCCAGGCAACGTAGCACCCATACACGCAGTCAGTGTATTAGGCAGAGTTGAGACAACTGGCCCTTAAGGGCACGTTCACACATACAGCGCAGTACCGAATCGGCGCTGAGAAAGACGCCGATGCGGCGCTGATGCTGTGTCTTACACCGTGTGCTGTGCCGAGTTGTTGTTATACAGCAGCGATGCATCGACGCTCACCGCTGTGGAACGGCACGTCGGTTATTAGCATACATGGGTAAATAATTTTCAAAATGTAATTTAATTACAATTAACTTGCTTCAAAAGTAGTTTCACTACAATTACAATTACTACTACCTGAAAAGTAATTGATTACAATAACAAATTACTTTTCAAAAGTAATGAAATTACTTTAGAATTACTTGTTTCCGAGCGCGACCCGACTTGGGCCATATAACTTTAAACGTGTTGTATAGAATGCAACGTATTTGTTCATTCCTTGCCCCAATGTTTGAGGAGCCTTAAGCATCGCTGCGTAAATGTCACGTATTGTGCTTTCCTTTTATGAATCTTGTTACAATTTATGATAGAAATTGACAGTTTGGGGCAATGAAGTACTACGTTTTTGTATTCAATTAGTTCATATGCTGGATGACGCCAGACGACAAACGAAGCAATAGAGTTGACAGACTTTTGTTAGCTCGGCAAATAAAAATGCGACAATTAGTCACCCTATTGAATATTCTCATTTGTATGAGAAATTTCTGTGTCCAATAAACACATATAAATCATACAAGATATATAAGAACATATAAGAACCATATAAGAATCATATAAGAGCTATATAAGAACATATACGAACTATATAAGAATCATATAAGAGTTATATAAGAACATATAATAATCATATAAGAGCTATATAAGAACTATATAAGATGCATAAGAACATACAAGCGCCATATAGGAAGCTTGTGAACAGTTTCTTATACTGTTCTTATAGATCTGATATAATTCTCATATAGTTCTTATGCACTTCTTATATGTTCTGATATATCTTGTATGATTCATATGTGTTTATTGGACACAAGAAATTTCTCATTCAAATGACTTTTTTCACTAGGGTATATGTGAATATTTTACAAGTATTAATCCACACGCGCTAATATGACTGCATTCACATACAAACATCATGGTATTGTAAATTATTTACATTTAATTGAAATTATAATGACTCAGAAATCTATAAGAACCGAATCCAGGCTTCCGAATCATTGGTGGCAATATTCACAGGTGCGAGGTCAGCCTCCAAAATGCTTATGCAAATAACATCCGAAGTAAAATCAACAGGAATTAACCTAAAAATAATACAAAGATACAAATATGCGAAAGTACTGAAAGAAAAAAAGTATAAAACTGACAAAAAAACAAAAGCAAAACAAAAAACAGACAATTAAAATTTCTAAGCTCGGCTAAAAGCTGAAGCTAATATTTTTTTTTTGGCATGCTTACGTTATTGTTTTTGTTCGCTCCGCAGACGGCGCCACACGGCGCCGTTAAGGTAGACTCCAAAGAGGATTGTCTCTCAGCCCGCAGTGTAAGCAACAAACCAACAAACAACGCAATACTATTTTCGCTGCGCGTGTATGTGCATGCATGTCTATATGTGCGAGTGTGTCACCGAGAGCTATAGGCCGCTTGTGCGAGCGCTGAGGCTTTCTGAGAGGTTCCGTCGGCTCAACAAAGTCTTGTAAAAATAATTATAATTGTGCCTGAATTTTCGCAATTACTAACACTAGAAAGTAATTAAATTACAATTCCTTTAAGCCGAAAGTAATTAATTACAATTACGAATTACCAAGAAAAGTAATTAAACTACAGTAATTGAATTACTGTAAAAAGATGGCTATTACTCACGTGCACCACCGTGGAACTACATCGACGATAAGTCACGTGCGAGTCAGAGTTGCATCAGGGCCGTTTTCCAGCGCCGAATCGGAGCTGGAAGACGACGCTAATCGGAAGTAGGAGACGGCAATAAAACGTTGGTTCTTATCATATAAAATGTAGCACGAACTGAAACACGGACGAAATAAAAAGTCGTTAGAAACACGCACCTGTACTTGTTTGGCATGTTTTTTTTTACTTGGTCCGTGTTTCAGTTTCTTAACAACTTTATACAGACGGAAGTTTAGTCAGCCTCAATAACTTCGGACTGTATAAACGTACACACAACCATTTCAGTTCGCGTTTTCATTTTTTGAACATTTTAAAAGAAAAGAAGGCGGCAGAAGTCAAATTCTCGCTTGTCTTACACGAAAACCGCCGTTTTTGTCGTCTGCGACTGGCAAACAAGCGCCGCCGTTGTTTTCCTTCCCAGAAACGGCGGACCGTGCCCAAGTCAAATATGTGCGTTTTTTACGCCACGCCTGAAAGGAACAGCGACTTCGGGTTTGACCAGTCAGAAGGCGCAGCGTTTACCTGCAAGGAAAGTGGCTCTGCTGTGTGCACAAGGTTATCTAGTTTCCCGCTTGAAACGCCTTCAAACACAGGCGAGGACGGGCAGCTGTTTCCCTTGAGGAGGAGTGCTCACGCAAAGGCTCGCGCTGCAGAACCTCCCGGGTTCGATCCCCACCCCCTGCCCGTTTCGATCTGGATGAGTTTCGTACCGGCACGCGTTCGTGTAATCACTATACTGCGTGGTGCATGTTAAAGACCCCAGGTTAGCGGTTCTACTGCACTGGCTAAATTTCTCATCTACAGCTAAGAGACAAGTCACTCGTTGAGGCGTACTAGTATCAAGGCTGTATAAACACACAAACAATCTTGAACTCATACTTGTGTTACAAAAACAAAAAGTAGTAATTTTCCGGTAATTTTTTCTGTTTCTCTCGTGGAGAGTCCTATAGCTAGCTAGGCTGTCATTCTAACAATTAAAGATTACATTAGCAAATGTACACGAACATATGCTGAGTTCGGAACTTCTAGGATGCATCTTGAACATGAGAAAAAAGTGTGCTCGAAAACAACAACAAAAAAAAAACATGCGCAGAGTGTCAGGGATGCAGAAAGGACTCGATGCATTAACTTATAAACGTCAACACGGAAACGATAATGATAATCAAATTGCATATTCTTCAGTGGACATTATAACGGGTGTAAAGCATCTCTTACAATCTCCATAATGCATTCGTTGTCACAACTGCCAAACATGTTGTAACGGGGGGGATTATGATGCGGTTCTCTGAATCTTTGATTACTTCACGCGAATCAAAAACACCGCGAGGGCTGTAGCAGGCTCGTGTGTAACTTATTAGAGAATGAATCGATGCCTCCGATCTCCGGAGTGAAAATAATAATAAAAAAAATCTATCAAAGAACCAATAAACATGGCACGTACTTGCTTGCTGAATGTGTTCATCCAGAGGTTGGTGTTGACACCTCCGGAAAAGTGGGCCTCGACGAAATTGCGTAACTTCCGGGTCTTGTCGCCCATCTCGTCAAGTTTCTGGACACTGACGTGACGACGAAGTAGGAGACGACAAACTCTCGAACCGGCACGCCAAACCTTCTTCGCACTCTTCGGCACGAACGGAGAACAGCACCGAGAACCCAGGGGTCCCCTCCAGGCGTCCCACGTCTATTACAGACACCAACTGATCTGTGCTTGACGCATCCCGAAAGGCAGCATGATGTATCCTCGTCTCATCACTCGTCCACTGTTTATCTTCCGGCTTCGTGCATGGGCTTCGAGGCGGTGCCAACGAGATCTACAAGACCTCACCTTTTCCCACCCAAACTGTCACGGGATCAGCCAATCTGCTAATCCCACTGAAGAAATCCACACGCACCTTATGGCACGAAGGACGTCAACGAAGCTCGCTCTTCCTCTTGAGGCTGTGAGCAGGCTTCAACAGAAGTCCTCTTCCAGGACGATGTGAGTTCATCGGCCCCTAGATGCGGATGGAATGAGAGCTTCGCAACGAAAGCGAAACTGCGGACGTGCGCAGACGCGAAACTTGACCCACTTCTCGGGCAGAAACCACTTCCCACTTTCACCGTCGTCTGGAAAATGTCGGTGGTGTCTTGCTTGCCGTCCGCCGGTTTCGTACCCAGCCGAGCCGATTTGGGGGAGTTGGTCGCGCGCGCGGACGCGTTTCGGTTTTGGCGACTGACTTCCACCGTCTGCGTCTGGCAGAGCTTGGTTCTGCAGCTACGGTGACGTCCGTTCAAGGCCGAGATTTCTTTTCGTTTTCCCACTCTTTTTTCTTGACTTGCCTGGGCAGCTGCCAACAGATCCCATAGAGATTCCTGGCGCCGATTGTCGATTGCATTTTATGCAATCGCTCTCCTCACTGTTTATGGATGATATAACAGGATGACGTACTACATTTACACCGGTATCGAAGAAAAAAACCGGCTTCGTGAAGGCATCCACGTGACGATTCAGATTGAAGAGATACGGCTTATACTTCTTTTCACCCCTGACGCAGCCGACGCTACAGGCTGATGGGACCAATCTAACAGCATTAAAAGCGCACATCATGGTCATGTTGTTCTATCATTGCTGAACCAATCTTAAACAAAAAAAAAAAAAAAAGCCTGCGCTTTTGAGACCGCTTGCGTCGTTTGCGTCGTTTGCGTCTGAACCACAAAGCTCGAACGAAGCGTATCGTTAGATTTACGTAAGATATGTAGTTTAATCGCAACCAGAATCGCATACCTCTAAAAGTTGTTGGGTACGATTAGAGTTACTGCTGTACATAACGTAATTAATTACAATTACTGCTGTACATAAACTGAATAATTACAATTATTTGTCACTTTTAGAAAGTAGTGCAACTTACTGCGTCACATCGCAGTAGTTTTTCTACCCGGCCTGAATTGCACTAATTTGACAGCATCTTTCTGAACAATGAAGTGCATTAGGTCATTTCTTTTCCGTTATTTGAGCACTGACTACGCAGCGTTGCCCATTCATCACGTTTCGTTCGGTTAATATAGGTCCGCGTACTGGTAGCCAGGCGTCTTTAGCGCGGCTTTCAAGCGAAGGGTTATGTGTATTCTTTCTCGTCTTGTAAACCCGGTGGTGCCATCCTGAGTACTTGTTTTTGACAAAAAACGGCAAAAGCGGCAAAAAAAAAAAAGGAAAAGAAATTCTGGCTACGGGCTTGCGTTGTTTCACCAAGTTTTGTAGACTTACAAAAGGGATCGAAGCCATTGTACAGAGGTTGATTTTTATATTGTTTTATGCCTAAGATTCTTAAAGTGTTTTTATTTATAAAAAAATTCTAAAGAAAAATTTTGTATGTCTCACAGGCGCTGCTGTGGTTCATCCTATTCAACACCTCCGAAATTGAGCTTTGTTGTCAAAAATATCAGTATAAAATTTTGAGGAGTTGTGGTTGCAATGCGAGTTTTGAAACGACTGACACCACCAAAGTAATTATATTATATTTACAACTTTTTTTAATTCAAAGTAACGCCTTTAAGTTAGAAAATTGCTCAGAAAAGTATTCCAATTAGAGCGATTCCCACCCAAGGAATGTCCACTGGACATTTCTTTCGTTCTTGTCACGCGATCTCTCCAGGCATACACTGACCGCTTTTTTCTCTCAATGTTGTTCCTCATACAGACATAAAAGAGTCAGTTTGGAACATATACACTGCAGATCCTTTGAACTTAGTACCTGCATAAAAATAAAATGAAAAAATGGCACTAAACAAAATAAAACAAGCGGCAAAGCAAACGTATGCAGGGTGTCTGATTTTATTCCAAACAAATTTACTTAAAAAAAGAAAAAAAAATGAAAGACGTTTACAACCTCCTGTAACGCCGGATTAGAGCGCAGCTCTTGAGGAGGAGGAGAGCAGGGTACTGAGGGGAGGGTACCCCCTTCTCCCTCCCCTCCGTCACGTGACCCTTATGACGACAGATGACCCTCGTGACGTCACGTGACCCTCGTGAAGTCATGTGACCCTCGTGATGTCACGAGGGTCATGTGACTTTACGTTTACGCCGACAGCGACGGCGACGCCGCTCAAGCCGGGGAAACGGGCGCCTAAGAGCTGCGCTCTAAAAAATTAAAGACGTATAATTAATCCCCTGTAACGCCGAATCAGAGCGCAGCTCTTGAGGGGAGGAGGGGAGGCTACAGAGAGGAGGGTACGCCCCTCCTCCTTATCTATACCCTCCCCTCCTCCTCTCCTGCTCGCCTCCCATTAGGCGGAAAATTTTCGCTAAATTTCCTGCTAAATTCAGCGGGAAAATTTTCCCGCTAAATTTAGCGCCAAAATTTTTTTGCTAAATTTATCGGGGAATTATTTCCGCTAAATTTAGCGGGGAACTTTTTCCGCTATACGTTGCAGGAAAAATTTTTCGCTAAGTTTAGCGGGGAATTTTCTTCGCTAAATTTAGCGGGAAAAGTTTTCGGCTAAGTTTAGCGGGGAAAGTTACCCTTGTCCGCTATCGGCATCAGTGTGTCGTGATCAATAGTCAGCGCTCTAGCCTAAAGAAACTGACGTCAGGGGTGCCACAGGGGAGCATATCCTTGGACCCCTTCTGTTTAACAATTATACATCAATGATACAGTAAATATAGACGACAGTGCAGGTTTTGTAATTTACGCAGACGACACCAGTTTATTCTTTTCAGGGAAAGTTGTCCACCAGGTTTTATGTGCGGCAAATAGCGTTTTGCAGAAGATAAGTGACTGGACAATCTCAAATTCTTGAGTAATTAATACAGATAAGACGAAGGCAATACTTTTTCGATCCAAAAATACAGTGTTTTCGTTTACTCAAGGGTTCTCTCTCCAAGGGCGAAATATTGACTTTGTACAGAATGTGAGGGTTCTTGGTGTGAGATTTAATGAGTACATGAGCTGGGACGCCGAAGTACAATGCATAGCTGGCAGACTTTCAAAAGTTGTGGGCATTATTTATAAATCCCGTCCTATATTACCCCTTTCGGTCTTAATTCTTCTTTATAACTCCCTCTTTTACTCTTGCTATAACTACTGCTTCCTTGTTAGGGGTAGCACAACGGCTACAAATATGCATTACTTGCATGTTCTCCAGAAGAGAATAATTAGAATTATGTGCAATGCAGAGTTCAACGCTCACACATTACAACTTTTCAGAAACCTTCATATAGTTCCCATTACAGAGCATTATAATTATAAACTTCTTATAACATATCAAACGTCTGTAAGGCAAAATCAACTTGTTTTTCTTTCAATTGCCAATACGAAGCGGAGAGTGCCTGCATATGCAGGCCGTTGTGTCGACACATGGTCAACGCCTCGCTCGAGAACAGGCTACGGCCTCCAGATGTTGCAGTACTCGTTGCCTAATGTTATAAATGGTACACATAGACTGGGCACGGACCTGATATGAGTTTGAGCAGGAAGGATATTCGTTCATTGTTTCTCTAGTGTTATTTGTGCCTATTCTTGATGGGACCTCCGACCTGCAAAGAGTGTTCGTAATGCACGTCAGATTTTTCGTTTTATTTAATGTTGTGTTTTGATCCTATGTAAACCTTGTTCTACAGGTCACTGGTATGTAAAATAGTTTCTCTCGTTGCTGGTGGGGAGGAAAAACTTTGTCAAGCGACAACAGTCTGCTTCTTTTTTTCTTCCTCCCCCTCTCCCCTGGAGACAAACAGTAAAGTTGAAGTTGAAGATAATGCAACGCACGGTGACGTCATGAGTGACGTCAGTCGTGACCCCCGTGACGTCACGTGTGATGTCAGTATGGGAAACGTCCCATAATTCAAGGCGCGGTTACGCCGACGCCGCTCAAGCCGGAAACGGACGCCTAAGAGCTGCGTTAAAAAAAAAAAAAAAAAAAAAAAAAAAAGCAGGGAAAGGTACACTTATGCGTCCAAAGTAAATAATATAGGGGTGCTGATTTTCACGATAAATCGGATTATTAACTACAATTCGTTCATACATTGCTGTTAATGTAATGATGTGTTATTTGCCCTTTCCCGGCTAAAAATGCTCACGTACGAACGCAAACCCCCATTCTACAGCAGAGGCACTGCTCTCCCTCTCCCCGTCGTTCTTCACACACGCCAAGTCCCTCTCTTGCACCCTGTAGTCGCCGATGGTCTTGCTTCGGCGACGCTCTAACCCTGTGCCATTTGTATTTGTGCGCGTGCGTTCGTGCGTGTGTGTGTGTGTGCGTGCGCGCGCGCGTGCGTGCGTTTGTGTATGTGCGTGCGTGCGCGCGTGCGCATGCATGGCACGAGCTTTCGAGTGGGGCAGTGAAAGTCGCAAAGAGAAAAACGGTAGGGTGGTTGATAAAAGATATAAGCAGTACGAACTTTTTTAAGAATCAACTCATGAGAGGCAGTGTAAATTTATTGGCATCTCATTTGACGAACTCTCCACAGCACGACATTGTGCTCCATAAACCATGGTCAGTATAACAATATTAGCACGACAGCTAGCTGAGTAATCATATTTCTTGTTTTATGAACAAAAAGAAAAGAAAAAGACGAGTTCCCGCATAATGAATTTGACCCAGCCTCAAATTCAAAATGGGCGTTTACATAAAAATATGACAAAAACCCAAAGTAATTTGAGGACTAGTAAGTTTTCCTTCTGCTGCGCTCATCACGCGTATCGCATTTTTTTTATTTCGCCGTCAAATAATGAAACAAACGAAAGATACCCTTGCCCAGTCAACCAAACCCCTGCTCAAGGAAAATCTTAGAATAACTCTCCACGAAGGTCACCGCTTAAAGCCTTCCTCGACATTAAAGAGTTTTAAAATGTTTTTTGTATGTTTGAATAAAAGTTAGGGCCTCATAAAACCTAATGTCATGTGTTGCGACAATTAAACAATTGCTAAAGAAAGAATTTAACGTGGTGACCAAGTCATGTTTCTGACGTCATTCCAAGATGGCGGTGCTGCCTGTGCAACAGAGCATGCTCACATGCTTCGCTGTTGTATTCGTAACTCCAGCGGCATGC